AAAATAAAAATAATTATTCTAGATAAGTGACATAGATCGGTGGAGGGAAATAAGGGAGGATTATCAAAGATTGGCGATTTTAACGAAAACAGTCGATAACGCCATAGGAAATATAACATGTTTATGTTTTGCCAGTAATTTGACTTTTATTATAATACAATTGTTTAACAGTTTACGGTAAGAAAACTGACGACATGTTTTTTAATACTTGTACGTACAGGGTGTTTCATTATCAAGCACTTTTCCGTACCGAAAAGGAAATAAATGGAACCTTTTAGGTACCCGTCCGTTTGTCTGTATGTCACTGGAATGAAAAGCGCAAAATTCTAATAAAAAAGTTAACTGTACAATATTGCGATCAATTGACATGATAACTTGATAATAATGTGATACATTTTAAAACTGTATTGATAAGTTTTTTAATACTTTGTACATGTATTTATTTAGTAAAGATTTTAAAAATAATGAAGTAAAATCAGGGCCGGACTGGGTATGTATAAGAAATTTGACCTCCAGATTTGGTTAATAAAATATTAAACATTAGCAATGAAACAAAATAGACGCTAACATTAAAAATTAGATGAAAACCAAAAAAATTTTTTTAGCATTTTTAAGAGTGTGTGATTTTGGACGATTTTAAAAATGAAACTTGTATGATTTTTATTTTTTTAGTTTTATTTTATTTCTTTATTTCCATTATTATAGCTTTTCATTATCTTCGCATTTAATTGTTTACAACCGCATAATCCCATAAACGAAATGTTTTAAACTCCATAACCCACCCAGCCACTGTAACCGTTTCGCTCCTGAGTGCAACACCCTGTACATTTTACAAAAGTAGCTTCTAATGTATCTAAATGTATTTTATTTTTGTAATACGTTGTAGATTTCGCAAAGATTTAATAGACAAATTTTACTTTTTCTTCTCTTTCGCGTTTTTGATTGCGAGGACGTTTTGTGTATGCCTATATGCAGCATGGATTAACGACGAAAGTAGGGAACCGATTTATATTCTTGCCGACGTTTCGTCAGAATGTTTCAACGTTGAGGTACACCAACAATTACTAATTTTTATCGAAGAAGTTTAAATAAAACAGTATCCAGTAGAAAGTTTTAAATACTAAATGTTAGATGAATTACAATAAAAAAAGTTCTATTTTGCCCCCTCCCCCCACTGAAAAAAAATCCTGCCGGCGCCAATGTTACAGGAGCAAATCTATTCGATTTTTTTCACGCAACAATTTCACAGTGTTAAGTAATCCAATAAAAATTTCAATGAAACTTTTTGCTATCTACTCTTTTATTTTAACTTTTTAAAATACAGTTTC